GCGGGGTCAGGAAGGAGGAAGCGTGGTCATGGAGGAGGGGGCGTGGCCAGAGCGGAGGGGGCGGGGCCAGGGAGGAGGGGGCGGGGCCAGAGCGCTCCCTGGCCGCCGGAGAGGGGGGTGCGCACCAGTAGCGACCAGTATGGACCAGTAGGGACCAGTATAGACCAGTATAGACCAGTATGGCTCCAGTAGGGACCAGTATGGACCAGTATGGACCAGTACACACCAGTATGGCACCAGTATGAACCAGTATGGACCAGTATGGCTCCAGTGGGCACCAGTATGCACCAGTATGATTCCAGTATGCACCAGTATGCACCAGTATGCACCAGTATGGCTCCAGTACACACCAGTACAAACCAGTGGGGCACCAGTACGCACCAATACACACCAGTAGGGGTCCAGTATGGATCCAGTATGGACCAGTATGGACCAGTACAAGCCAGTACGCACCAGTATGGCTCCAGTACGCACCAGTATGGACCAGTATGGCACCAGTATGGACCAGTATGGACCAGTATGGCACCAGTATATACCAGTATGCACAGCCAGGACCCCAGTATGCACCAGTAGCACACCAGTATGCACCAGTAAGGCACCAGTATGGCACCAGTATGCACCAGTATGCACCAGTACACACCAGTATGCACTAGTATGCACCAGTAGGGACCAGTACGGACCAGTATGGCTCCGGTACGCACCAGTATGGCTCCAGTACACACCAGTATAGCACCAGTATGGCACCAGTATGTACCAGTAGAGACCAGTATGGACCAGTACACACCAGTAAGGCACCAGTATGAACCAGTATGGACCAGCATGGCACCAGTATGCACCACCAGGACCCCAGTATGCACCAGTAGCACACCAGTATGGTACCAGTATGGCACCAGTACACACCAGTACGCACCAGTATGCACCAGTACACACCAGTATGGCTCCAGCATGGCACCAGTATGGCTCCAGTATGCACCAGTAAGGACCAGTATGGAACCAGTATGGGCCAGTGGGCACCAGTATGGACTGGTATGCACCAGTACAAACCAGTATGGACCAGTATGGCTCCAGTGGGCACCAGTACGCACCAGTACACCCCAGTACATACCCGTATGGACCAGTATGGACCAGTATGGCACCGGTAGGCACCTGTGGGGCATCAGTATGGCACCAGTATGCACCAGTAGGGACCAGTAGGGACCAGTACACACCAGTGTGAACCAGTATGGCTCCAGTATGAACCAGTATGTACCAGTACACACCAGTATGCACCAGTAGGGCACCAGTACAGACCAGTATGCACCACCAGGACCCCAGTATGCACCAGTAGCACACCAGTATGCACCAGTATGTGCCAGTGGGGCACCAGTATGGACCAGTATGCACCAGTGGGGCACCAGTATGCACCAGTATGCGCCAGTATGTACCAGTACGCACCAGTATGGCACCAGTATGGCTCCAGCACGCACCAGTACACACAGGTAGGGCACCAGTATGGCACCAGTGTGCACCAGTATGCACCAGTACACACCAGTATGGCACCAGTATGCACCACCGGGACTCCATTAGGCACCAGTATGGCTCCAGTACGCACCAGTAGGCACCAGTAGGCACCAGTAGGGAGCAGCACGGCACCAGTATGAGGGGGGAGGTGTCACTGGGAGCACTGGGGGGGGGGGCACTGGGAGTTACTGGGAGTCACTGGTCCCACTGGTTTTGGTCACTGGTTTATTTGGTAGTTACTGGGGAGGGGGAGGGGCGGGGTCACGCGTGG